TAGCATCTTTAAGTATTTCTATTTTTTATTAATTAATACATACAAATATTCTGTTGTCTCAGAAAAGTGTATACAATATCAACAAAGAATCATCATTAAGCCTTCAACTTTCAAAAAGCTGTGACATTACCTAACTCACATCTGTTTCTGCCATAATAATCACTTAAAACTGACTGAACTATCAATAACAAAATTATAAGGTTTTTGTTAAAGGTAAAGACCAACTAGAAGAAGCAGCCAGACAAAAGCTGAAGACTGCCTACACCTCAACAACCAGAGATGACTTGGAATGAGCAGCTTAAATCGACTTCTCACAGAAGACACTGGATTTCAAGCTGTGTTTACAAATTGTAATAGTGACTTATCTATTCATTTTAGGTACAAATTCAGAAATGTGGACGTTACTTACCAAGATTATATCTTTGAATTCATTAAATTTTAGTGTTCGAAACAAAAAGGGGGGGAAAGAGAATATGCATGTGCATAAGCAGGTGCTGGATCAGAACAGATCTCATTTAAGATTGTTAGGCCTATCGATTCCTTATACTAATTCCCCTTTAAAACAGGGTGACAAGCTCACGACCAATTACTACTTAAAATCTTAAATGTGTGGCTGAAAAATAAAGACAAAATACAGATTACAGGTTTGCATGAATGACGAGAGATTGAAGCAGCCACCTAAGAATGAGTGAGAGAGAGATGGTGTGTGTGAAAAATTGAGGAACTGATTTTATTCCAAGCAAATTAAAATGAACAGAGGGTACTAACAAAAGAACTATTTCTGTATATTTACTAACTTATAGGCGTACCGTGGAGACTGTAAGGTGAAGGGTCCTATCTGGACCTCTCACCAGGGAATCTTTTGTGGCCGAGAACAGGAAACAAATTATGAATAAAAATGTATTCCTCTGTGCCATGTGGATACACAGAGAGACCCTCCATGCCTTGCAATGTGAGGATGATGCAAGACCCCCCTGTACGAGCCCAGGGGAGGTATATTACAACCAGCCAAAAGATAACACCCACTTCCAAAGCAGAGATATTACCTTTTAAGGCAACAAGCGGACAGTAAAAGGAATATTCAACAACTGATATCAAAGGGTACAAAAAGCGTGGTTTTCAAACAGCGGTGTGTTCTTTGCATGATTCAAGGATGCACCCAGTGCTGGAAATGGGTACCCAGCACTGCAATAAAAATCTCTTGCTATATTTCTTTGTCCTGCAGGTATTTTTGCCGTCTTCAAAATTCCAGAGAAAAAGTAACTTATAACAATTTAGGGGCTCGTCCAGGATCCTCATCCAGTGGCTCATGTACCAGGAAAGTGCACCCCACCAAATTTAGGTGGTTCTGGGACGGGGGCCTTCTGTTCAGAGCGACTGCGACAAAAGGACCCTGAGACAGACGGTTGCAGAACAAAGAAAGCAGGGAAAAAATTGGACACATGAAAATTGGTAAGGGCTATTTTAATTCAAGAGGGCTAAAACTACGGGGTGTGTGTATGTATGCATGTGAATGAGACGTGCAACTGAGCACGGGGCGAGAGTGGAGTTCTTCTAACTGCATTTCCAAGCTTCCGCGAGGAACTTGGCCAGTGAAGGAACGAAGCGCTTGTTGAGACGTACGAATTAACCTCTCTCGAAAAAATCCATCTTATCAATAAATCACTTAACCAATCTTACACATCAAAAAACTCCCAATAAATCTTATTATTTTGACTACGATCAGCATACCAATCAACCCAACAATTTATTCAACTATAACCCATCTACAAAATTGACATAACCTTCAACCACTCTACCCCACTTCACAATCCTCAACACAATCTACATCTACCCAAACCATGAAAGTGGGTGACGAGAGAGAAGAGGCCACTCAAGAGCTCCTGCACCAGCATGAGGAGCAGCAGAGGCAGCAGATGGCTTGGCTGCTTGAGGAGGTGGAGGAGATAGAGCAGAGGAGCCAGCTGCTGGACGAGATGAAGCAGAGCAGCCAGCACAGCGTGCTGCTCTCTGCCTGCCAGCACTGGTGGTTCTGGGTCTTAACTGACGTCCTCCTCATGGATGGAATTTATTCCAATGCCCAAATTGTGTAGGATACAGAGTAGGAAACTGGGATGGTTTTAGTCTAGGCCTTCCTGGTAACCAGCTCATAACCAAGGAAGTGCTCATGTTCCCAGTATTCCGTAAGATTTTGATGTAAACCAGCGTTGTAAATAAGTTGGAGATCAGAGAGCTCGCTCTCTTCTCTTCCGGTGAGGTTCGGGAGCAGTGGGTCCTTGCGTTGGTCTCATTTATCTGGAGACTGAGCCTGCAGCAAGGGCTGGTCTGTCGTGCAGGAGGTTGGAGAGTGCTGGTCGTGTCTGCCAATCTTGTTTTCCTGAGGGACGTGGTAAGATTTCATTTTGCCAGTTCTGTATTTTCATGGAATCATAGAATCATAGAATTAACTGGGTTGGAAGAGACCTTCGAGATCATCAAGTCCAATGCCACTGTAATGACTAGATCATGGCACTCAGTGCCACATCCAGTCTCATCTTAAAAACCTCCAGGGATGGTAAATCCACCACCTCTCTGGGCAGGCCATTCCAATGCCTGATCACTCTCTCTGCAAAGAACTTCCTTCTAATATCCAACCTAAGCCTCCCCTGGCAGAGTTAAGCCCCTGCCCTCTTGTCCCACTGCTGATTGCCTGGGAGAAGAGACCGACCCCCACCTGCCTACAACCTCCTTTCAGGCAGTTGTAGAGAGTGATGAGGTCACTCCTGAGCCTCCTCCAGACTAAACAACCCCAGCTCCCTCAGCCTCTCCTCATAGGACTTGTGCTCAAGTCCCTTCACCAGCCTCGTTGCTCTTGTCTGGACCTGCTCCAGCACCTCAATGTCTTCCCTGAACTGAGGGGCCCAGAACTGAACACAATACGCAAGGTGTGGCCTCACCATCACTGAGTACAGGGCAAAGATCACTCCCCTTGTCCTGCTCATCCTATTTTACTAGTTCTTGGGTCTGACTATGCCACAAAACCTTTGGGTTTGTCCCTTTTTACCCCTTTTGCCTCTTTCCCTTTCCCTTCAGGGATGTTTGGCATCCCTTTGCTGTGTACATAGTTTTTCAAGTGTATATAACTTTAATCAATGTAAAAATATATATTTTTATATAATTCGATTGGTTTCAGGTTCTTCAGTTTTTTATAGTTTTTCTTTTCCTTTGCCCTAAGGGAAGAAGGGAGGGGGAAGGGGTTGTTACTGTGAGTTCGGGCACTTGGTAGGGAGTCAGGTCCGAACCATCACAGAAACTGATTAAGGAATAAAATGTATTTCTTGCACTGCCAATCAGTTTCTGGGAAGACATCTTTACAAGTAACATACAGAGCCCATTTTCACAGAGCAACACTAACCTATGAAATTAATTTCCTATGCAAATTTCTACTGCAAATGAATTATTATCTTGAAGCTTTATTTGAGGTTATGATTGTGGACCAGGAAAGTGCAAATGCAGGAGCGGTGTATCCCTGCTTGTGAAGGTCAGATTTGTGTACTAACATACCTGCAAACTGTAAGATGCAAAAGGACAAGATGGAAAAGGAAAGATGAGGGGAAAAGGTCTGCTGCTGTTATTCTCTGTCATTTTCCCCCCCACTACAGAAGCTGCATCAAGACAAAAAACATGGAGAGACAAAGGTACCCTCAGCATCTGCTTTCCAGCACTCGATGCAGCCTGAAGGAAACACTGAGCTTCAGGGAGTCAGAGGCTGAACAGCAGGGACTTTGCAGCAATGGAAAAACAGTGGGGTTTTTGCACCTCCTGAGATGCAGAGGGATGATCTGGTGTGAAGCAGGCAGGCTGAGGCATGCGCTTTGTGGAGCACCAGTGTTTTGGTTGTCCCAGAGCTGAGGACGCTGGAGATTACATGGTCTTCTGTAGTCACTGTCTTGTAGGAGAGGACATGGGCTTATGGATCAGAAATTTTCTAGAGCAAATGCTTTTTTCTTCAGAGGTTTAAGAGTATGGAAATATAGAACACTTGATTTTCATGTGTGTCATATGTGGATGAATTTTTGGTCGTAGGGGGCCATAGAAATGATTTCAATTAGAAGCTACTAGAAGCTTTTGCTCTTCTATGAAAAAGCCAATGATAACCAGCTCCAGGATGGAGCAAGTTGTCTTGGGTAGGACTTGTGGCCCCGTAGGAGATCTACAGTGTTGCAGCTGATTTGTGACCCAAGGGACAGCAGATTATGGAAGAACTGTGGCCCGAGGGATGGACCCACCCCGGAGAAGTCTATCAAGGACTGTCTCCCGTGAGGGGGGACTCAAAGCCATTACCCCCTGTAACTGTGGTGAATGACCATGGTGAAGCAACTTGTCCCCTTGCAGTCGATGGAGACCATCAAAAGGCAGAGAGAGAGAGACCCTTGCACCTGATGAAAAGTGATCCCCCAGGACAATGAATTGGAAAGAGTGCCTGTCCAACAGATGGATTGGAACAGCCACAGAAGCAGCCGCTGGCTATGACTTTCCCCCTTTACTCATCTCCCTGAGCAGGGGAGGGAAGAGGGGAGTGAAAGAAAAGTGTTGTGTTTTAAGACCGTTTTATTCTTTTGGTCTTTAGTTCTCAATTTGTTAGCAATAAATTTAGCTTTTAGTTTGTTAACAATAAATTTAAGTTCTATTCACTTTGATTCTGGTTGTCTATGAAAATTAGTAAACAAGTCTCCCAGTTCTTATCTGTACTCAAGAATTCTCTAACTGATTTTTTTCTCTCTCCTCTGAGAAGAGCAGAGGAAGAAGGCGGGGGGGAAACGGTTTTCAGTAAGTATTTAAAATCCACACAAAATTGAAAACCACAACGTGAGGAGTGTGGTGTCCTAGAGGAATTCTGCAAATTCCTCAAAAAAAAAGGAAAAGCAATGATTAAAGAATGAACCGACACTGGAGGATGTGTTGGGACAACCTTTGCGTTGTGCTGTTACTTCTTGTATTTCCTCACTGGGCTGTGACTGTTCCATCTCCTGTGATGTTCATCTCACTGCTGCATAAGCCAACCTTACATTGTACCCAAGGATAACGTGCATTTCCACATGAACAACAGTTGATAGAGAGAAGGCAAATACAAAGGAGTTATATCTTAATAAAAGTAAATTTGCTGGGAATGGAACCAAACAACCTGCAACTAAGAACCAGGGACTCGATTTTAGTAGGACTCAAAAGCAGAACAAGACTTTGGAAAAAGGGTCCAACTCCTAGAAACCCTGGGCAAAGAATTAAGAGCACTCCAGAGTTGGGCAACAGGTGAGGGGTGACCTGGGGTTGTACATGTCAGACATCTGCCTTTGCTCCACTCTACTGCCAATTGATAACAGCAGTATACTTGAAATTTCAAACCTAACATTGGGAGAGAATCTTCTCTAAATGAGAAAAAGAATTCACAAGTCCCTCCTCTATGAAATTAGCATGTCACCGTCATTATTTATTCATTTCATGTGGGTTTATCCCAGAGAAATAATGCTGAGAAAAACAAGAAAAAACCCCAAAACCCAAAAGGGAATTTGATGTCCTGGTGGAAAAAACACGTGAGTTTTGGACTTCTTTTTCTGCTCAGGGCTATTCTTCCTTGTTCCAGATGGCAGGAATAGGAGCCCTGAGAGGTGAGCCTGCATCCCTCTCGTGCCAAGGGGATGTGTGATTGCCTGGGCTCTGTGCTCTGCCCCTTGTGGGGCTGCAGAGCCGGGGGCAGTGGCCGTGGGCACGGCCGGGCTGTCTGTGTGGGGCTCCAAGGGCTGTGCCGTGAGGGAGGACAAGGCAGGCGAGGGGGTCCCCTTGCCGGGGGTGGGGCCCTGGCCATGGCAACAGCGGGGTGTTGACATGTTCCACGGCCCGGGACATCACACAGGACAAGCCGTGGAACGGTGCTCCAGGGGCTCCAGGCACACCAGGATGCAGCGTTGACACTGCAGAGCAGCTCGAGGCAGCGGTGAGTGGGGCAGGGGGAGCAAGGCTGGGCTGCCCCAGGGCTGCCCACAAGCACCTGGGGCCACCCTGGGCGGCTTCTGGGGCTGCAGGGAGGGCACAGGGGCTGCTGCAGCACCTGGGCCACATCCACTTCCACCCATTCTCAACTCCCTGCGGCTCCTGCCCCTGCTACCCCAGGCACCAATTTCCCCACCCAGCCCTGATGAGCCCCTTCTCTCCCTCCTCCTCCTCCAGGCCATGGCTGGGAGCTTCACTCACCTCCTGGTGCTGCTGAGCATCTTCCAGTGTGTGGGGAGAGTTGGTGACAAGAAAGAAGAGGCCACTCAAGAGCTCCTGCACCAGCATGAGGAGCAGCAGAGGCAGCAGATGGCTTGGCTGCTTGAGGAGGTGGAGGACATGGAGTGGAGGATCCAGCTGCTAGATGAGATGGAGCAGAGCAGCCAGGACAGCGTGCTGCTCTCTGCCTGCCAGCACTGGTGGTTCTGGGCCTTGGCTGACGTCCTCCTCATGGTCTTCGCCTTCTTCTGGCTGCCCAGGCAGAGGAGCTCTGCATCTGACAGCTCAGACACCGAGGAACCTCCGATAGAGCCAAAGAGCAGAAGGAGCAGGAGAAGGAGGAACAGGATGCGTGGCAGCACCGCTGACCAGCTGGATCCCATCAGGTGTTCCCATCAGCATCCGGACACCATGGACATGCAGAACTTGCGGAAGAAGCATGGGGTGAAACAGATGATCAGTGCATCTGACAGGGCCTTCCCACAAAGCACTTTGGCAAGGGGCTGCGTCTGGGGAATATATTAATACTCAGGAAAACCTTTTGTAAGCTTTAGTACCCATTGGTGTTGGAAATAAATAAGTTTTCTGCATTTCAAAAGTGAGATAATTATTGGGATTTGATTAGGAAACGGGTTAAGCAATAAAATTAATTTCTTGCATTGTCAGTCCGTTTTATGAGGACCATAGATTTCACCTGTTGAAAATCAGATTGTATTTTAGATGTTGGAGAAGTTTTCATGTTAAGTAGGCAGTATAAGAATGTTAGTAAAATTGTTCCTGGAAGATTAGTAAAATTGCTCATAGTATAAGAATGTCAATAAAATTGTTCCTAGAATATTAGTGAAATTGTTCAACAATAAGAAGTGGAATTTAGAGATACTACTTTTCATTTTAAGTATAAGCTAGAAGAATGTTAGTAAAAAATATTCCTAGATTAGTAAAATGGTTGAATTAACATTAGTTAAATAGCTTATAGACTATTAGTAGAATTGTTCATAAATAAGAAGTAGAATTTAAAGATATTAAAGCAGCAAGTGTAATGTTAACTCAATGTGTTATGTTATCCTCCAAAACTCGTTTTCTTTGTTGTCATTTCCAGATTATTTTGTTCGACAAAACCTTTTGTAAGATGTACTTTCCATAGGTGTTGGAATCTGTAAATAAATGAGTTTCCTTAATTTCAAAAGGGAAATATGTGGTGGCATTTTTCCAATGCCCAAATTGTGTAGGATACTGAGTAGGAAACCGATGAAGGACTAAAATGTATTTCTTGCACTGTCAATCAGTTTCTGGGAAGACATCTTTACAAGTAACATACAGAGCCCATTTTCACACAGCAACAACATCCTAGGAAATGAATTCCTTATGCAAATGAATCCTCTAGGAAATTATGAAAATGACACATTAATTGAGAATTTGGTTCATGAGGACAGTCAGTCTTAAGTTTTGAGAAAAAACATGTTGAAATGATGTCAGCTGCCAGCACTACAAACTCATGTTTCATGGGGTTCTTAATACCAAATGGAAAACTCCTTTTTTTTTTTTTCCTCAAAGCCTTGGACTTTATACTGAGAGCACATTTCCAGAAATTACCTTCTAGTTAATGTTGTGCCATTTATAATTGTTATGGTAATGGTCCAGCAGCCAATTCTGTGTTTCAGACCGGTACATTCATGTTCAAGTCACCTCACTCTTTCTCCTTGAAGTAGGTCTTTTGAGCTATATTGAAACCACTGACAAAACTTCTGTTGTAAATTTCTAGTTTGGGGAACAACGATTATAGCACAAGACACAAGAATTATCCTGCTCAAAGCCGACAGATGCTCGCTCCCAGTTCAGAGCCTACTGGCCTTGGAACTTGGTCTTTGAGTAGCTTAGCACATAGTGAAGGAATTTATATTTTAAACATAGTTATACTTTCCTGATTATACTTTCTACTCTTGGAATTCTCACAGTGGAAAAGGCAATTTCTGCTGGACACCCATCATTTTATTTGCCTAGTGGATATTATCTGAGCTTACAACTCTTATCCTAAACCGTGTTTAGTATTGTAAAAAGGACTGATGATTTTTCTCTGTTTTCTACTGAAAAAGCCCTGAGGGCTTATCACTTGACCTTGTATGATCAGTTAAATTGGCAGGATCTTGATAGCGCTGTTCTCTTACTAAATCACCACTAAAGCTAAACTCATATCATGGATTACAGGAATTTAAAATGCAACTTCACAAGTTAAAAAACCAGTGAAATGCAACAACTATGTTCCTTGCATTTGCTGCATATTTTCTGTAACAGTATTTTCTGTACCTTTTCTGTGAAAGGTTGACTACTGGGGGAGTTTGAACTGTAAACCAACTGGGCCAGAAGAAATTCCTGTTTCCAAGTCGTTTCTAACTTCCAGTTTCCCACTCTTTCATAACTGTCAATCTGTTTTTTTCTGTGGGGATATTTTTTCATCATTTCAGTAAGAAAAAATCGCTGCTAACTGGGAAGAGGGAGAGCATTTGATACTCCAGAGATTTTAATCTTCCTGACCTTGACTTCATGCTGTGGAAGGTTTTATTAGGACGACTGGGCTCTGATAGGAGAGCTGCTATCGGATCAAGGGAGGTGATCCTTCCCCTCTGCTCGGCACTCATGGGATCACATCTGGAGTTCTGTGTCCTAGTTCTGGGCTCAGCAGTACAAGGACATAATGGATTGATCCACAAAGTGACTCAAAAGGTTATTAAGGGTTTGCAGCACCTGACATACGCATATGAGGAGAGGTGCTGACAGTGCTCAGACTGGAAAAGAGAAGGCTTGAGGGAATGTTATCAATATGTATAAATACTTTATGGCATGACAGAAGGATGCAGATATCATGTAAAAAGATGGGCAAAACTGAGAAAACAAAGATTCTTTTCAGTCAGAAGCGAAAAAGAAAAGAAACCTGTGATGTTGACCAGACACTGGAAGAGTTTCCATAGAGAGGTTGCAGAGTCTCCATCCTTGGAGATATTCAGGCCCCGCATGGACACTGCAACCTCCTCCAGCTGATGCTGCTTTGAGCTGGAGGTTTGGACTAGCTGGTCTTCAGGAAACCCTTCCAACCCCAACTATTCTGTTCTTATCTGTCATACCACCTATTCCAGGAGAGTTGCTATTTTTATTTCAAAATTGACACTAATGTACTAGAACATGTAAATGGTGATAGAATGGGACAGGTCGGGTTATTAATGCCTGTACTATTTACTTTTTCCACTGTTTATGCTGCTTATATAGATTTGAACTGTTAAAATTTTCACATATTCAACTGATTTTCACATATTCAAGAAACCTCTCTTACATTATTTTTACTAAACCATCATTGAGAAGAAGAGTATAAAGAACTCACAGAGCTCTGGAAGCATTAGAAACAGAGGGTCTGACAGGAAATTCTGCCTCTTGTCTTTTTCTTCCAAGTTTAAAGAGATAAAGTGTCCTTGAAACCTAGAAACCCATGTCTGAATGTTTGAAACCCTTTACTTTTCATGGAATGGACTGGTCATCACAGGCAAATTTGAACAAAGCCCTTGATGAAACAGGCAGAATACTGAATATGCAGTAAATAAATGTGAGGGGGGTTTTGGTGAACCATGTCCGAGACTTTCACATGCCAAAATGAATATCCTACTCTGAGACCTCAATTTCTCAAGTAAAATATATCTTTACAAAAATAGGAAAAGTTTGCCTTCTTTTTTTTTTTTTCCCCCCTGTGTTTGTGTTCATAGGACCTGTGTTTATTAGCTTTTATTTCTGGTCTCATTTTTGTTCACATATGAAGATTCTATTCCACTTGAAATTTTGGAGGCTGAGGTTATAATCATCAGCCTAGCACAGCTACCTGTTTGAAATAGCTGATCTAACAAAAAGTGAGGCTAAAAAGAATCAAAATGTGTAGGTTTCTGTTAATTTTTAAATTATGCATTTGTAATGTATCTGCTGTCACCATGTTTTGTCAGTTAACTTCCTACAGCCTAATATTTCCTGAAAAACTTGCTTGCTGTTTCTGCTGTTCTTTTTTAATGTAGCAATTTAGAATTAAAAATAATTATCCCCTTACTTTTCAACAATTGTACTGTTAATGATTTTAAACCTAATGTGGAATTAAATGAAAAAGAAAGATGGTGAATGCAAATAATACACGTGCCACCTACTGTTGGACATGTGGATTGATATTAAAACTATATTAAACGACATTCTATAGGCTCAACCTTTATTAATCTAGTATAGGTACAATTTATAAATATTTATGTTGAAACAGATGGAGTTAAAGAGAATTTGGAGTAAAGCCGTCAGGATTTCCATCTGTTTCTATGTGGAAACTACTTTTAAAAAATTCAATTATAAAAAATCCCCTATCAAAAATCCCCAATCAAAAACCCAACAGTTAGCAAAAAGAGATGTTCATTTGTGTGTAAATTAAAAGAAGGATAACCAGAGGTCTGCTGTTGCACATCTTTATTTATCAGTAGCCAATCAGTGGGTGACAGGTGCAGACCAGGCCGGGCTGGGTGAGACTGTTCTCACTGTGCTGCCTCTTCCAGCTGTGGCCACAGATTGCTCTGGAATGTGCAAGTGCTCAGCAATTCAATGTGCCTTAGACTGAATTAATGGAGAAGAAGAAAGCCATTGCTGTCATCAATACTTGCATGCCAGAATCGAACCTGATGGGCTTTCTGGAACTCAAGTGACAGGAAAACACGCTCCTCCCTTCTTGAGCAGCAAATAAATAAACAGGATAAAAGCAGCTTCTGCCTTCCCCTGTTCTACATTTCCATAACTTAGGGGAAAACAGCTTATGTGAAAAGGAACCTGCATTGCCTGTTTTTACTCTATCAATAGTGATGTTTCCCAGAGGTGACTGGATAAAACAGTAGAGACTGTTTGCCTCTCTGCTAAAAGAGGGTATAAAAGTAAAGGATTGTGAGGAGAACAAAGTGGAGTAAAATGTCAAGATTTATGCAAAGATTTGGGGAAATCAAGAGTGCTTTTTCATCTCTGAATTTGTAGTCCACTTTGGTACTCTTTCAGGATTGTGGTTTTTCTTCCTATCCTGAATAATTAATCCCAAAATGGGTGACTGGTTTATAGATGGAAGTTATTTTGTTAATGGGAGTTGCTGTCTTGGATGTTATCAGAGAAGCTGCTGATTAAGTGGAAGGCTCTTTACTCAGCACCATTCTGGGAAGCATTCTGTACCCTTCCTGCTTCATCATCAAGCTGCAAAGTCTGCCCAGCTTAAGAAAATGATGCACATCACAGTGACTTGGTAAATCTCCTATCTGCAAACCAAAAGAAATTCTCAGCTATTTAATGGACACTTCATAATGTCCAATAGTTCTGTCCTTCTCTTCTACATGTCCTTATTTACAGTGTTTTTTGGCAAGACTCCCAGGAATTTTTTAACTGATAAGCATTTTTAATGTTTATAATAGATATTGAAAATAAGTTTGTACACATGGAAGCTTTACAAAGAGGCAATGGCTAAAAACAAATGTACTTATAGTTGCCATTTTTTATATATTCTCTGTCATAATATTCTACCAGAGGGCCAACTGGGTAAAAATGTAAAACTGTGGATGCTGTTGTGCTATGAAATTCTATGAAAATTAAGGTGGTTTAAATTTCATTTCTGTACATTAGAGGAGTCAGCATAAAGTAGCAGTGTTGTCATGTACACATGATATGTTTCTGCTATGGAGAGTTCAGAATTTCAGACAATGAAGTCATTGGCTCCCTGACCTGAACTTACCCAACCATATTAGAGAGGAAATTGGTTCTCGTGTATAATTTCCTGAAACATCCTCAGGGACTACACAGTTAGGATTACTTAGTGGCTTTAAATAAATGCAGCTGCTAGAACAATATTTGTAATATTTGGCAGCTTTCAAATATTTTTAAACATGAAATTATGGATAACATTTTGGTTAAAGACTCCACTCAGTCTGTACTGTGATCAAAACTGGCAATGAGGAGCTGGGTGTCTGCAGAGCACGGCCTGTGCCAAATGGCAGAGTGCAGATACAACAGCAGAGAATGACCAGCGGGAAAAGGATTATTTTGCTAATTCAGAGAAAGGTAACTGCTTCTATTTAACTTTATTTTTTGAGGGTTTTCCCTCTGAAAAACTGAATAATGTTGAAAAAGTTTGGTCGAATAACTGAAAGCAGAGTAGGTTGTGCTTCATGGAGGGAATCATTTTCCTGCAGATTTGAAAAGGATCATGTAGGAAAACATTCTTGAGTTGATTGATCTACAGTGTGCAGTTAATATGCTGACAAACTGCTGGAAACAGAAAAGTGACTAAATCCAGACCACGCAGTCTATTCAGCTGCTAAGCAGCAAAGGCAAAACTCTCTTTAGTCACTCCTTAAGCCAAGGCTGAATACCTTTGAGACACAGGGTAAGTCAGAAACTGTGGACCTGATGCCAAATTTGCTGATGAGTGTTAGAGGAGGTCAGACCATGTGGTTGTCCCTCTAGATCTTAAAACCTCTGAGTTGGAGGCACATCTTAATACTTATTGCTATGAAATGTTCTGCTAGTCCAGAAAAACATTCTGAAAGGTTGTTGCTCAAATCTGATCTGTTTGTATTTAAGTAAAATACAATTGGAGGGATCAAGAAGTCTCTAGACATCACAATGAGGATGTGACCCTATCATGTGGCACACTTAGTACATGCAGTAAAACAGAGCTTTGGGGATTAAGAATTGTTCAGTAGAAATTGAAAGGAATCTTAAGGCAATCACTGAGATTTTGATACAGCTCCAGAATGAATTCAAAAACTATTTTTAATGACCACAGGGACTAGTCATCTCTGAGGGAAGGAAGAATGGTAGTCTGGAGAATAGGCATGATGAGATTGGTAGATTCTTTTTAATTAAAATACTCCAACTGAGAAAATTCATCAATAAATGTGACGAGCAAATATTTAACCTTTAGGTTTGGTTTGTGTTCACATTCCAAACAAATATAGTTAGAGATACTTAAACATTTGTGATTGTTGAACACATCTTTACAGAGTAATTATATTTAATATCTGGAAATTCAAAAACCACTTTCCATATTCCATGTGTTACGTGCCCTTTTATATTAATGTTTTCTAAATGTCATGTTGACTAGTATATTAAATTCCAGCTTCTTTCTAAGGTAACTGAGGTAGTTGCTTTACAAGATAATTTTCTCAGCTGTAATATCTTCTTGCATATAAATATATTGTTGGCATTTCCATACTGAATTTTCCAGTAGGCCAACAGATTAAGGTGTTACTAAACCACGATTCAGCAAGGTTTTAACTGCAGCTATCCTTTTGCATTTCAAACTGTCCGTTTGTCTCTCCTGTGATTTCCCCTCTGTACAGGATTACCTTTGTTCAACATGAATCGTGCAAGTCAGTGATTAACAAGACCATGGCTAATGTGCTTCACTGCATTATGCAATTTTGATATTGCACTTCATTTCACCAATGGGAGGAGGAAAAAAAGAAAAAAAAGAAAGGAAGGAAAGTTTCTAAAACTCACTTGCTCGTCTGAAGTCCCCGTAGGGTCTTGGTGCTTGGAGCCCTTTCACCTGGGCAGGCTGTCCTGGCTGGGCAAAGGAATGTCAGTGGTCCTGATGAGCTGTGCCCACGGTGAACATCAATATTGCACTGGAAATCCCTCTGCGTGGGGAGAGGATGTCGTGTCCTGCATCCCTTTGGGTCTGCCTGGAGCCCTTGGAAGGGCACCTGTGCTCACCGGCGCTTCCCCAGCAGGAGGGAGAGCTGATTTTCGGTGAAGGTGGCAGAGCACTGAACAGGTGCCCAGGGAGGGTGTGGAGTCTCCTCTCTGCATACATTCCAACCCCACCTGGACGCGTTCCTGTGTCACCTGCTCCAGGTGCCCCTGCTTGGCAGAGGGTTGAACTGGATGATCTCCACAAGTCCCTTCCAGCCCCGACAATTCCATGATTCTGTGAAACCGAATCCCTGAGCCCTTTGGCCAGGAGCACGGATGCAGGAGAGCAGATTTATGTAAAACCCGACAACAAAACAATGGATTTTACTTGGTAACCGCCCCATTTAGCAAACGGTGAGATTTGCTGCAGGCTCCCTCTGCAGTGTTGGCGCCTTTCTCGCTGCCTCCCAGCTCAGAGCACGCACCCATGGCCAGAGCCAGACTGACCCCACCGGCGGCCGAGCGGCCCCCGGGGAACTGAAGGGGAACCGCTCGGGGCTCGGCGTTCGAAAGGAGGGCGGACACCGAAGGGCCCGGGGGCGATGTGGGGAACAGCAGGAGCGACCCCGAGCCCGGGCCAGGGCCGGGGGGTAGCGCGGCCCGACCCCCGCTCCGGCCGCGGCCGCCAGAGGGCAGGGCCGAGCGCGGCCGGGCCGGGCTGAGGGGCGGGGGCGGCCGGAGCGGCGGGGCCGCTGACGGGACGCGGGCGGGCTGAGGGGCCGCGGGTGGCAGTGAGGGGTGACGGGCGGCCGTGGCGGCGGGCAGGGCCATCCGGATCCCCACGCGGCTGCCGCTGCTCCCGAGCCACGAGCGCGTCCCGCTGCCCGGCTCCGCCGTGCGCTCCAGCGCGGACTCCCCGCGCAACGCGCGGCTGGAGCGGGGCCGGGGCTGAAGGGCCCTGCGCTGCGGAGCGACCCAAAGAAATCCTCCTACTGTGTGCAAAGCACACTTTTATTGCGGCCGGGGAGATGCAGGGGGTTTTGCCCCCCCCACCCCGTGCATTCCACCGAGTAAAGAAACACAACAGCTTTTTATACATTTGAAGGAGTGAGTTTCAAAATTATCTATCACGTACACTCTTTACAAAGTCCGCCTTATCTAAATAGACATTTGGTTACCTAACTCCTATTCTTACTACCATAGAGTAGTTACCTAAAGTTGTATCACTTCAAATAGCTTAGGTTTCCCCCACCCCTCTTTTGTCTCCCTTGCAATCCTACATGCTGGAAGTCTTTCTGCTTTCCCTGACAGTCCCTTTTGTTTAGGTAAGCTAGCTTTATCTTAATTGCCCCCAGTTAGGGCAGCAACCTTCTTTCAAGCAGTTACAATTTTGCAAAGTCACACTTAACATAGGTAAATTTTACTCACATAACTAAATTTTAATTGTATTTTATCTTGTCTTCATTTCACAACAATCCAGAAAACCCCCCAAGTTTAATCAATACCAGGAAGAGGCAAATG